ATTGCCTTCCTTGTCTACAAAGACTCCCCTTGGCACTGATTCAATGCTCCACCTCATTTTTCTTATTCTCTTAAATTCATAAAAAAAATGTAAGTAGAAATCAGGTTTGTTGCAAACCGAACGCCAGCTGCCATCATATTGTGCTTTCAAAATTCATTTTGCCCCCTGTAGCCTTTGAAACCCTCCTGTGAAAATGAAAGGTAGCACCAGCTCCATCCTTTATTTGGAAGAGAATCTAACCTGCCCAGAAAAAAAGGACAAAGTTTAGTTGAGGGGGCAGAGTGGATAAAGCAAAGCTCTTGCACAGGGGTGGGGAATCTTGGGTCTTTTATGACTCGTGGACTTCAACTCCCAGAATTCCTGAGCCAGCCATGCTGAGGGGAAAGGGAGAGGTTTCCAAGCTGAGCCATGCTGGCTCAGGAATTCTGGGAGTTGAAGTCCACGAGTCATGAAAGGGCCAAAGTTGCCTACCCCTGCTCTTGCAGAATGCCTTCTAATCTAGCTAACTGACATCTCATGAAAGATCCTGACAACCATTTCTATTGTAAACAGAGATACTTCCCCACCCTCAGCGTCCCTGTTGGTCTGCAATTTCACGAGAATATTTGTAGCTCAGGGTTAGATACAAGGATCACACAGATTAAAAGAAGAGCAGAATGGAGAGAGATGTGTCTCCAGTCTTCAGAAAATACCATGGTTAGGTTCACACATCACACTAAGCCCTAATATAATGTAGTCCGTTTGGGTTAGAATGATAGATTGTGTGAACCTAGACTTTATGGTTTATAAACTAGAGTATATGGCCTAACGGTTGGGGTAGGCAACCTTGGCTCTTTTATGACTCGTGGACTTCAACTCCCAGAATTCCTGAGCCAGCCATGCTGAGGGGAAACGGAGAGGTTTCCAAGCTGAGCCATGCTGGCTCAGGAATTCTGGGAGCTGAAGTCCACGAGTCATAAAAGAGCCAAGGTTGCCAAGCCCTGGCCTAACTTGATGCACAGATCCAAACGTTTTCTGAATGTTTCTAAAACATGGCTTAGGGTGACATATGGAGCACACTTCAGTTTAAGTCAACTGTTTGTCATACTTTGAATTATTTATTACCTGGGGTGGTATGTGTGTATGTGTGTGTGTGGGGCAAGTGAGTAAATAATTGTAGAAGCCATTTTTATTTAGTTTTAATGGGGGTAGGTGGGTTATAGGTGATTATGCAACACTTGAGGCCTTGTATTTCCTTGCGCTATCATGCTGCTATAATGATTCCTAGCAACTTTATACAAGCTCGATTTTCTCTTGAAAAGGATATAGGTATTTTTTTCAGATATTTGCATTTCATTTTTTTTTTTCACACTTCTCTTGTGTGGTAATATTGCCTCATGGAATTTTTCTAAAGGATTGGTGTCCCTTTATTGCTATACTCTGTTTTCTCACTGCTTCAGCTATCATTTTTCTTTCTAAGGAGAAAAATCAACTGATGGACAGATGTAATGAGGCTTGATGGCTAATAACTCCACCTTCTTTTGAGTAGTACCATAAAATTATATATCAATGGAAAGATAATTTAATCAAGAATGTAATGCAACATAGTTTGTTCAATTATCTGAACTGTGTTCTATGAAAAGTTTTAGCCAAATAACCAGAAAAAGGAAGCACAACTTGCTTAGGTTGATATCAGGCAGCTTTCCTTCATCTGATTGTAGCCAATGAGCATGAGTAGAGAGCCAATCAGGTGTCATCTTGTTTTGGCAATGAGCCAATCAGATCACAGTAGGATTCGGTTATTGATGTCACGTATTGAAGCTGAGAGGAGGACATTTGTCAGTGCGTTATGTGATCGCTATCAAGTTGGTTGGGGTTTTTTGTGTTCTTTCATTTAGTGAGCTTGTAAAACGTAATAAAATTAAAGTCATGGTGCAAAGAGTTGACTGGTTGCCCAGAAAACGATGTAAAATAGTATTATTAAGTGAACAAGGCTACAGTTATAAAGAAATTAGAAGAAAAATGGGTGGAAACTTAACCAAAGGTGGCATTTCTACTGTACACTTTTCCCAAAAGGTTTCCACAATTTTGGCCACTACTGTATGTGTGTGGGTGTGGGTGTGTGGGTATGTGTATACACATATTTCAGCCGGGTTTATTGATTTGTTGCAATAAAGTTTGATTGTTGGGTGCTCCATCATGAAATGAATAATATAGAATTTGAATGCCGACATAAATTAATTGACCATTGTGTGGCTTCCCTCCAGATCTGAAGGCTCTCGGGAACGGCTGACTAATAAGTTTGATCCAGAGATAAGTTCTCATACAAGCCGAACATCGTCTCCGCTGTTTTGGTGACACGGGAACATACAATTATGAATCCAAAAGATCCATTGGAAGAGACAGGAGGAAACTCCGTTCCATTGTGTTTGGCCTGTGGCCAAAGGCACCTTCCAGAAGAGAACCATACATACACCTACACAGAAGATGTAGATGATGACCTGATCTGCCACATTTGCTTGCAGCCTTTGCTTCAACCTCTGGATACACCCTGTGGACACACATACTGTACAGTTTGCCTTACGGATTTCCTTGTGGAAAAAGACTTCTGCCCTATGGACCGCAAAGCTCTAGCTCTACAGAGGTGCAGAAAGCCAAGCATCCTAGTGAATAAGCTGCTGGATAAGCTACTGGTGAACTGTCCTTTCACAGAACACTGTTCAGAAATTCTGCAACGCTGTAATCTTGAGCAGCATTTTCAGAATGGGTGAGTCCTTTTGCTCTTATGTATATATATATTCGTATTATATATGAAAAGAAAACCTCAAATGGATAACATTTTCTATAAGACATTCTCATTCTTCCTTATGATATAAATAAATCTGTCAATCAAGTTAGATATAACAATAACAATAATAGAGTTGGAAGGGACCTTTGAGGTCTTCTAGTCCAGGGCTTTTCAACCAATGGTACGGGTACCACCTGTGGTACATTGGCACCTGGCAGGTGGCACGCGATCATCCTAGAAAAGTGGTAATGGGGGAGAGGAATGAGCTGAACTGGTGGCAGCACCGCACAAGCCTGAACGAGAGATGGCTGGAGCTGCAGGGCTGTCAAGGGTCAGCGGAAGCGCCAGGATCAGCTCCAGGCTCCAGCTGGAGCTCGGCGCTGATCCTGGCCCTTCTGCTGAGCCCAGAAGAAGCACCAATCAGCTGGAAAGCAGCACTGATCCTGGTGCTTCTGCTGAGCCCAGAAGAAGTGCCGATCGGCTGGAATGTTGCAGCATCTCCAGGGTCTTGTGGTTTACATTCAGATGTTTGGCTACTGATTCATATTTATGACGGTCACAGTGTCCCAGGGTCATGTGAAGTGACCAAAACCTGCTGCAACCACCCAGCAGATGGGGGGAATAAAAATCAAACACGTCCCCCACCCTACCTCCGCTGCCAATCCTCAACAGAAATGCTCACAACAATGAAAACCTCGGACAGGAGGAAGAGCGCCGCCGGGCAGGCAGGCAGGTGTCTTGCTCGGCTGTGGCTTGTGGGGCACTTTTTTCAGCGCCATTGTAACTTTGAACAGTCATTAAGCGAACTGTTGTAAGTCGAGGACTACCTGTACTTTATCACTTTTTTCCTTTTTTTTTTTTTTTTGGTCATCAGGTTTTTGATACCTTGCTAGGCGACTGGTGGTACTCGGATGTTGCCATATCCTAAAAGTGGTACAATGGGTGAAAAGGTTGAAAAGCCCTGGCCTAATCCAACCCCCTGCTCAGGCAGGAAACCCTATAACAGGGGTCCTCAATCTTGGCAACTTTAAGACTTGTGGACTTCAACTTTGCTGGCTGAGGAATTCTGGGAGTTGAAGTCCACAAGTCTTAAGGTTGCCAAGGTTGAGGATTCTTGCCCTATAACATTTCCGACAAGTGGCTGTCCAGTCTCTTCTTAAAAACTTCCAGTGTTGGAGCATCCACAACTTCTGAAGGCAGGTTGTTCCACTGATTAATTGTTCTGTCAGGAAATTTCTCAGTAAGAGAAATTCAGTAAGATTTGTCTGGCCTGATCTGATTTTGACAAACCCATGTTGGCTTTTTGGTTATGACTTTGTTTGCCTCTAGGTGTTTGCTGATTCGTTGCTTGATTATATTGCTTTTAGTAGCAATTACTTATTTTTATTATTGAATGTATCCTTCATCTTTCAGCTTACATGAATGCAAGGCAGTTTTATAACAGTATTTATTTATTTATTTATTTATTTATTTATTAATTCAATTTATATCCCGCCCTTCTCCTTACCGGACTCAGGGCGGCTAACAGCCTTATAAAACAATGCAACAATAAATACCTAATTTAAAACCAAATTAAAAAGAAATATTTGTTATGGCCTATACAATTAAAATTTCTCTTTAAAAACCCCACTAAAATTCCCTAGGCCAATCCCGCTTGTTGGAAGAGCCACATTCAGACGCTTCCTGGGTCACATAGGGTTTCATGCAAATATTTCCATGAGGCATAAGAGATGAAGCATGAGGCATCTTAAATGCGTCAGCTTTTGTATTATGCACACAGTGTAATGTTGCATGGGATCCAAGAGAATAGGTGACGTATGCAAAAATTGGGTTATGCCAATGTTTCTGGAATAGAATCATTATGTAAGATGGGAAATGTCAATCGCGACAGTAGAGTCAATTTAGTGAAGTCACCACTGAAATTAACGTCAGAACCATTAAGTTAAAAGCTTGATGCAAGAGAAGAGATTTTGCCATTTTAATAACTACAGGGAGCTTTGGGGGAGGTGTCTCAAAGCACTTCTTCCAGAGGAACTCTCTTGATTTAAGTCAGGGGTGTCAAACTCAATTTCATTGAGGGCCGCATCAGCATTGTGGTTGCCCTCAGGGGTCCGGGTGTGGCCAGGGTGGGTGCGGCCTACTGGGTGGGTGTGGAAGGAGTGGGTATGGCCTACTGGGTGGGTGTGGCCATCTCTACATCGTTCGCGTCAAGGGTGCCTGTGGGGGCCTGGGCAGGAGTGGGATAGATCTGAGGGTCTCTGGCAGAAGGGGGTGGGACCGGGGCAAGTGCCAAGGCATGGTCCACACTGGAGGAGCCTCACTGTTCCTCTCAGGCCATGCAGGGGGGGGCTTATGGAGCTAAGACTGAACGCGTTTCAGCATAGATGGCCACCACAAAATTGTACATTGGCTCCCGGCTGACCTGGGCCAGGGCCAAGGCAGAGGGGGCCGTTCCCTCACTGTTTCCAGGATAGCTTTGCGGGCCACATGAAACCACTTCACGGGCCGCATCCGGCCCCCGGGCCTTATGTTTGACATGTCTGATTTAAGTAATTGGAAGAGTTCATAGCAAGGAAAATGGTCAGGTCCTAAATTGTTTAGAGGGATTTAAAGCGAACACCAGCACCTCAAATGACCAGGGTTTACATTTTACTTCTTTCCCATTCCTGGAAGGAAAAGTCCAGGTTGCAAAATATGACTCCTTTTCGTTCACTGTAAGGTTGGGAAAAGGACACTGTAGTATGGTGGAAAATACCCACAGGAAAATCTATTCTAGATTAAGTTTCTAAACCTGTATATGTTTTCTCAGCTTGCTTAAATCTAAAAACAATATAGATGTAGCAGATCAAGGATCTCCAACCCCCGGTCTGTGGACTGGTACCGGTCCATAGCCCGCTGGCTGCACAAGAGGTAGGCAAGTACGCAAAGCTCCATTTGTGCATGCATGGGATTAGGGCACAGTGGCGCAGTGGTTAGAATGCAGTACTGCAGGCTACTTTTGCTGCCTGCCGGCTGCCTGCAGTTGAGCAGTTCGATTCTCACCGGCTCAAGGTTGACTCAGCCTGCCATCCTTCTGAGGTCGGTAAAATGAGGACCCAGATTGCTGGGAGCGATGTGCTGATATTGTAAACTGTAAAGTGGTATATAAGTCTAAATGCCATTGCTATTAGGTTACAGGGGTGAAACCATCTCTTCCCCACCACTGTGGCCACCGCCCACTGCCTCAGGTCCACAGACCCAGGAAATTGGGGACCCCTGTAATTTATGACTAATATATATATATGTAGTATATGACATGTGGATGACATATCTAATGTATAGGGGGCCTATGAATTAGCAACCCACGTATTTCTTCTTGGATCCCCAAATACTGTTTTTACTGAGGGATGAGATGGTCATCAAATGCAGCGATTCCAAATTATAGTCATGAGCCTGTCAGAAATGATTTTGAAATAGCAGTTTTGATGAATTGGAAGGTCATCTCGTAATACAGTAGTGGCCAAAACTGTGGAAACCTTTTGGGAAAAGTGTATTTTTGAGGTTTGATGGCTAATAACACCACTTTGTTTTTGGAGTAGTACCATAAAATTATATATCAATGGAAAGATAATTTAATCAAGAATGTAATGCAACATAGTTTGTTCAATTATCTGCACTGTATTCTATGAAAGGTTATAGCCAAATATTCAGAAAAAGGAAGCACAACTTGCTTAGGTTGATATCAGGTAGCTTTCCTTCATCTGGTTGTAGCCAATGAGCATGAGTGTTTAGAGAGCCAATCAGATGTCATCTTGTTTTGTCAATGAGCCAATCAGATCACAGTAGGATTCAGTTATTGATGTCCTGTATTGAAGCTGAGAGGAGAACATTTGTCAGTGTGTTATGTGATCGCTATCAAGTTTGTTGGGGTTTTTTGTGTTCTTTCATTTAGTGAGCTTGTAAAATGTAATAAAATTAAAGTAATGGTGCAAAGAGTTGACTGGTTGCCCAGAAAGCAATGTAAAATAGTATTGTTAAGTGAACAAGGCTACAGTTATAAAAAAATTAGAAGAAAAATTGGTCAAAACTTAACCAAAGGTGGCATTTCTACTGTACACTTTTCCCAAAAGGTTTCCACAATTTTGGCCACTACTGTATCACGAAGATGCTCAATTTATCTCACCTGAGTGGAAAACAGCTATTATACACATCCTCGTATGATCCCATCCAGCTGTAGAAAGGAAGCAAAACAATCTGCAGTGATTTTGCCAAGTGCTCCCAAAAGCTATTGAGCACATGGCAAACAAAATAAAATAAACAACCTTTGTGCTGATCACTCCTGAAATAATTTTTCTTTTATTCCTATGGTGCTGTCATCTGGAGCCTATCCAGTTCTTAGACAACCTACTGAGATAATCTTGGAGAGAGGAAAAAAATGCAATAGTTAGCAAAACATGATTTAAACCAAGAAAACAGTAAAAAGAAACAAACTACACTTATGTCATTATGTGCAAATACGATGGTTCAAAGTAGGACTATGGTTTGCTTTCCATTACCTTTTAAAAAGCATTTTTATACAATTCCAATGTAAAATGGAGAATTTAAGGAAAATGGAGAGAAGAATCTAGAGCTGTGATCCTGTATAATAATAATAATAATAATAATAATAATAATAATAATAATAATAATAATAATAATGATGATGATGATGATGATGATGATGATGATGATGATGATGATGATGATGATGTTGGAAGGGACCTTGGAGGTCATTTAGTCCAACCCCATGCTCAGGCAGGAAACCCTATACCATTTCAGACAAATGGCTGTCCAGTCTCTTCTTAAACATTTCCAGTGTTGGAGCATTCACCGCTTCTGGAGGCAGGTTGTTCCACTGATTAATTGTTCTGTCAGGAAATTTCTCCTTAGTTCTTGGTTGCTTCTCTTTGGTTAGTTTCCACCCATTGCTTCTTGTCCTGCCTTCAGGTGCTTTGGAGAAT